GATCAGATCCTAAAGTGGGCGTAGTAGTTCCTTGTCCTCTCCTGGGGAAGCCCCCTGCCAGGTGAGAGGGCACTCTATCAACCTCTCAAGGGTCCACAGAGCAGGGAACTGAGGCTTCCTGCCTGCACCCTGGAGAACGCACTGTCTTAGATGTGTGACCTCCCCTCAGTTCAAACCCTCATATTCCCACACCCCCCGCCTGCCCACTTAGCGGCAGGCCCAGGAGGGCCTCTGAGCCAGAGCACCCGGCCGAGCCTCTCTCCAAATCCTGGCCCACAGAACTGTGAGGCAGCAAATGCCCGGAGCTCTAAGCCACTGAATCTAGGGGGATTTGTTACTTGGCAGTAGATGACTACTACATTGTCCTAAAGCCTTTGTCTCTGAGGTACCCTTCTGGACCATCAGCCACAGGCACTGTGGGTCTGTAAGGAACAGCGGCCTGGCCTGGGGAGGCTGTGAGTCCATACTCGGTGAAATGTGTGGAGCCCTAAAGCCTTTGCCCAGCTGTAGGCACTGGGTCCCAGCAGGTCTGGTGTGGCGTCTGAGCATCCAGTCGTTTACTTAGCATCATATAACTACACAATTTTTTTTTTATAAGAAGAGAGCTACTGAAGGATTTATGAAGGTCATGTTTAGCTGAGAACACTTGCTGTATGAAGCCACGAGGCTCTCCATCCTGTATCCCATCTTCAAGGACTGGCTGGGGGAGCTGTGGTCACCATCCAGCGGGTCTCAGCCAGCTCTGGGCACCCCTAGAAAACTGCCAGGCCTGGCACTCTTCCTGGGAGCCTCCAGACTGGCTCCTCCCACTGTGTGGCACCAGCTGTCAGCCTACCAAGTGGCTCCTAATGAAGCAGCTCAGGGCCAGAACTGGCGAGTGCCTTCCCTGGAAGCCCAGTGCCACTGGGAGCCCACATGGAAACCCACGGAAGGAAGGACAGGGCTCAGCCTCGGAAACGGGCCCCGACTCTCCTTCTACTCACACAGCCACACAAATGAAAGGAAACAAAGACTCATTCCCTTTGCCAAAGCCATGGTGGCCCGAGTGCTGGCAGTTGTAGGAGGGGTCATCTTGGAGGAGTTCACCAGCATGTGGGACATGACACAGGGCTTCTTGGGGGCTCGTGGGGTCGCTTCCTTGATCAAGGGTGGCCACGTGAGACTATTGGTTTTGTAACATCATGTTCAAGCTGCACACCTACAATTCAGGCATCTTTCTGTTCATGCATTGTGCTTTATAAAGTCCACTTGGAAGTTAACAGCAGTGACAAATGCTGTCCACATCTGGAAGAATAGGGCACTCCTGTCCCAAGGCTGCCTGTTTGGTCTATACATCTGCCTTCTTCTAGAGACAGACCAGCAATGCCGCAGACAGAAGTCTTTCTCCCTTTTTGCCAAAATTGGTGTGTGTGTGTGTGTGTGTGTGTGTGTGTGTGTGTGTGTGAAAGAGAGAGAGAGAGAGACAGACAGACAGACAGACAGACAGACAGACAGACTTGGGAGCAGCTGCTTCTCCAGCTGTCATCCCTTGAAAAATAAGTCCAGGTCTTCAAAAGCAAATACCATAAGTGAAGTATTAGCATGTTTTAATTTTCTAAGACAGTAGATACTGATAAAATGATTTGAAAAGCAATCTGGGCTCTCTGTAATGCTTTTGGGAATCCTCGTTTGTCTTCCAAGTGGAGCTTTACTGAAGAGTGAGAATTTGGGAGGAAAGAAAAAGCCACACTAGGTTTACTGCCCATTTCTTTGAAAAGTATCTAGAAGCAGGAGACATTATTTTCTTCTTGGACGAAGACAGACGTCACCCGCAAACCCCTTGTTTCACCACAGTAGACCCTCAGCTTCTGACCGGGGAGACCTGTTTTGCAAATCTCTCAGAGAACACTAATTATTGCTGAAACGGCTGTGCAGAGGCCACTTTTCCTACAGTTGAGTTTATGACCTAAAAGGTTTACTCTCCAAGGCCGGCTGCAGATGTTAATGAGGCCAGGTGCGCTGGGACATCTAACTTTCAGGCACTGGGCACAGTTGTTGTTTGGCAGCTCTGGGGCTAAGGAAGCACAATCGGCCATGATTGCTGGGGACGAATATCGGGCTTCCGGCTGCTGCAGAAGAGCACGGTCAGTGGATGCCCTGCCAGTGGACAGCGTGCAGCCTAAGGCACAGATGTTGTAATACAGGATTTTAATACAGGATTTGAATCCAGATCTTTCCTTTAAATTTTCTGAGTCTCCCTATATATGTCATGCTGTCCTTAAACTCTCTCTGTAGTGCAGGCTGGCCACTATTGCTACCTCAGTCCTCTGGCCTCAGCCTCTGCAGCGCTGGGGTGACAGGTGGGCGCCACCGCCCCGCCCCGATCCCTAGCCTCCTAAGGATGCCACACATGGATCTGGGTCCCAGCAGCCACCACCAGGTGGACACAGGTAGATGACTTCTTTCTCTCTTCTTCCAAACTGTTTGTCTCCTGTCAAATGGGATTAATAATAGTCACTGAAGTATTAGGAGCACTACATGTAATAATATAAAAGAACTTACAACTTTACCTGGTGTGTAACAAATTCTTAGTGGATGATAGCATTACTATTAAGAAATGAAGGGAAATTAAAAAATGAATAATTTTTGTTAAGTTTTGAATTTGCCAACCCTTCTATCTTTCAAAGCATGAGTAAATAAATGATATTAATATGCACGTATGAGTGAGTAAAGAAGATAGTTTCCCGGGAATAAAAAGTATCTGTCTAAAAATTGTGAGACCAGTTGCGCAGGAAGTAGCACCAAGAATGAACAAATGGGATTGTATTAAATTATCACAGCCAAAGAAACAACCAACAGAGTGAAAGGAAGACCTACACAGTGGAAAAACATTTCTGCCAGCTGTTTCTCAGAGGACTAATACAAAGAACTAAAAAAAGTTAGACTTCCTATGTTTACAGACCCCATCAAAAATTAGGCGTCTGAAATGAATAGACACGTCTCCAATGCAGTATGTACCTAAGAAATATGTATATAAGAAA